TCTTTTTCTTCTTCTTCTTTCTTTCTTTTTTTTTTTTTTTTAAATTTTTAATTTTTTTTATTATGGAAATTGTAGTCCAACAAGTACAAAATCGATGAGCCAAAAGTTGTCATATTTTAATACTGTTGCAAAACAATTTTTTTTTATAGTTAATGAATTTTTTTTTTGATTTTTCATTTTCTTTTAATTACTAAGATTGAGAATTTATTTGTTTCATTTTTATTTTAATGAATAAAAAATTATTGTTATTATTTTTTATTTGGTAGAAGTAGGAATAATATTTTAATGAAAAATATTTTCTATGAAAATAAAGTTATTTTTTTGTGGTCAATGAAAAATATTTCTCTGCGACCCATTTTTTTTTTTTGTTATTAAAAATCAGAAACTAATTTTTTTGTGGTAGAGGATAGGGAGTGGCAGTAGTGGTGAAGGTGGTGGATAAGAGGTGATAGTAGTAGTGGTGGCGGCGGCAAAAAAGATTAGTAGTGAAGTTGTGGTAGTGGTAGAGGAGATAGAGTAGCGGTAGTGGAAGAAAGGTAATGGTAGTAGTGGTGGTGGTAGTGGAGTGATGGCGATAGTGGTGGTAATGATAGTTATAGAAGTGGAGTGGCAACAGTGGTAGTGGTGGTGGTGGTGGTGAGAGAGAGATGAGTGAGAGACAGATAGAGAAGAGAGATAGAGAGAGCCAGAGACAGAGTGATGAGCGAAAGAGAGATAAAGTGGTCGATAAAAGTGCATTTTCTTGTAGTGGAGAGCTCAATAAATAGAGAAGAGATTAGGGAGAGAGTGAGCAAGGTGAACACAATGGGGGAGAGAGACAGACAGGGAGAGAGAGAGAGAGAGAGAGAGAGAAAAGTGAAAGAAAATATCTTTTCCCTGCAACTTTATACTAACAGACTACTCGAGTGATCAAACAATGGCTTGAACGAGAGTGAGTTAACCACTGCTCAAGCAAAGAATGACTCTTTTTCAAAAGTTCAGACTATGAAACACCGCTTGAGTGAAGAATAGACTGCTTGAGTGATAAACACACCACTCCTAGAAGTTCAGACTGCAAACATATATTTTGGGAGAAACAAAAGAGCACTCGAGCGAACCCAAAAACAAACAAACAAAATTTCCTTTGAAACACTAACTCCCAACCTGTTTCAAACATAAGTCAACAATCCAAATAACCATTCCCAATCCACTATAGACCAAAAAAAAAACATAGACAACAACCATATGTGCTAGATTCTAAACCAAAGAGTATAAAAGGGTCGAGTCTTAACCCAAACCACCATAGCAACAATCCATTTAATCTCTTTACCTCCTCCATGTCCCATTCAAAAAGGTTTCTTCTGATGTTCCAGTTCCAATCTACTTGCCCCTCACCCCTATTAAGCAACCCACCCACTGTCCCAGATTTGTCTATGGACAATAAGTAAAGTCTAGGGCACTCTTTATTCAAGCGAACATTGCCAGCCCACTTGTCAACCCAAAAATGTGTACTCCTTCCATTGCCAATTTCAATGACAAAGTTATTACTAAAAAAAAAGCTAGCAAATCAGGTCTAGAAAGAATAGGCCCCACAATATCACTTCAGACCGTATATGTTTTGTCATTCCTTCCCTCAGTTGGAGACCATCCCCCTTTTATTCCATAATGTCTTCTTCTAATCACCTATTTTCATAGGGCCTTATCTTCAGCTCCAAATCTTTACCACCACTTCAGTAGAATGCAGGTATTCATTAATCTAATTCTTTTAATTCCCAAATCCCCTTGGCTTTTACTTTGAGTTATCTCAGCCATTTGAACACATGGATTTTTCTTTCGATGGCAGTACCACCCCATAGAAAAGCTAATTGAATTTTGTTAATCTCTTTGGCAACCTCTTCTGGCATCTTGAATAAAAACAAATAGTATATAGGTAAACTAGAGAGCACTGACTTTATTAGGGTCAAAGTACCTGCAAAAGAGAGAAATCTTCTTTTCCAAGTAGCAAGCTATTGCTTACACTTCTGAATAACTGGTTGCCAAGTCCTTCTATGACTAGCACCCAAAGGCAATCCCAAAGATTTTAATGGCAGATTTTGGTGAAGGCAATTAAGCTCGGTAGCAAACTCTTTATTTAATTTTGTAGATATCCCAACCCCACACACCACACTCTTGTGGTAATTAATCTTCAGACCAGATAGCACCTCAAAACATCTAAGTATTCTCTTGATGTTGATTATCTCCTCCCAATTCAACGTAGTAGCAAACTCTTGAGTTAATTTTGTAGATACTCCAATCCTACACACCACACTTTTGTGGTAATATTAATTGATATATAATACTAAAAATTAACAACAATAATTAAATGAATAATGTGGTCATCATGTGCAGAGAACGTGCCATACCACTAGTTAAACAAAATCTAATTTTACACGTGTGCAATAGTATGATATTAAAAAAAAAAATTGTCAATGTTAATAATAATAATAATTAAAAAAATAAGCAATGACTTTTTAGATAATTACATAACCCTCTTCGAAGGGTAACTATGAAATTTTGTCCTAAAATTAACCCAGTAAGAGATGTATGGATTATACCTAGAATGATTGTAGTTCTTGCATGCACTTTTTGGGATATTTTTCTGGGTATCTAGTATTGTAAGTAAATTACAGTTTGTACCCCTGCACTGCACCAAATCCTATTTTGGCCCTTACATATGAAATCATAACAGTTAACCCCCTTCATTTCTAGTCAAATCTCACTTTAATCCCTACACATGAAATTGTAACAGCCAACCCGTAGTACTTTTGGTCAAATCTCACTTTGGTCACTACACAAGTATCAATATTCCCTTTCTATTATTCAATTTTTTTAAATCTTTAACAAAATTTAGTCATGCAATAAGAATGTGACTACAACATGAGGGTTAGAGAGGAAAATCATCCACATTTTTCACCAATACACACTTTATCCCAAAATTTACATCAAATTATGATTGTATTAGGCTAAAAGAAAACATAGATTGTGAACGATTAAGAAGATGAACTAGGATTTTGCATAAATTGGAATAATGAAACTCTATTTTTCACAGTAACAAGGTCTTCTGTCTATTCATCTTCCTTTCTCTTTGATTTATTTGTCACGTTTTTTTATTTCAAAGACTCTATTTTCTTGCCTCTATGTCCTAATTTTTTAGCATACGAGCATTGTTAAGATTTTTATCCTAAACGTTTTTGTGTTTTTGGCAATAACTCTCTTGGAAAAAGTTAATATCATTGTTATTGATTCAAATTAAAAGAACAAGAGAAGATTTGGAGGCTCAAGAATGTCAAAGATTTGGAGATAATATAGATGAATCTTCAAATTTGAAAATGGCAACTTTGGGATGCTAAAGGTGGTTGTTTGTTTGAGCCTTTTGTGGCAAAACATGGTTGAAGAGATAGAGCTTCACATGTGCAAACTTTTTGTGGATTTTGTTGGGTCTTCATTGATGGCAAGCATGAGCATAAGGATGGACAAAAGCATAGCTGTTTGTTTGTGGGATAGGCTGGCAAAACATGGAGGAGAACATGGGCCATTATTGTGGAAGAAGCATGAAGCAGAACATGAAAAAAGTCTGCAAAAGTAGCTCAACATGCATGCTTCGTCGTGCTCGCGAACCCAAGCCTCGCGCCCGCTATGTACATATTTGGCCATCGCACATGCATTGCATAGCACTGCGACCGCAATTTGAAGACGGCAGAAATCACACTCCTAGTACTTTTGTTCATGTGCCTGCGAATAGAAGGGCACGCTCACGAGCTTCCTCTCCTCATGTCTATTTAAAAGACCCTTTGGTTATTTGTTAAGGCATCTTTTCTACATCATTTTCATATCTCTCCCAGCTCTTTTTTATATCTCTCCCATAACTGTCT